ATTCGTGAGAGCAGCCCATTCTTCAGTCTTTAGATGAAGTCTTTAGATGACTTCAAATCAAGATGAGTTCTTCAAACTAGACGTTCCCTTATAAAATCAGAAACAGGTCACAGCTTTAACACGGCAACCTGATATCAACTTCTGTTACTCATCTTGAACGTTATAAATCTTAAAATATTTTTACCCTGTATCTTATAAACCAAAGTGCACAGGATGAAAGTATTTATCTAAATATGAAGTAGAATGGAATCAAATCAAATCTTAAATTATTTTTCTCCTTTTGTTCTTTGATCTGTAACTTCATCAAGGTTTTGAGACATTTAGTGAGATGTATGAACTTGTTGGAACTGGCTCGATTGTAGACGAATAGGTAAATTTTTTTTCCTGATGATCGATTGTAGCTTCTCTCTTCTCTCTCATTTGGATTATGTTTATTCTGCTTTGGAGGTCTTCCTCGTTCCATTATTGTTGTACATTAACCTTGAAAACATTTAAACAGTAATACGAATGTAAACCAAACTGGAATATAACTATTAATATCTTTACAACTTTTGTTTAAACAAACCAATACACATATTTTTTTTTAAACTTAAATCAAAATAATGACAGTAAAAATAATCTGTATTGGCTGTTTTTGTTGACTTAAGATACAAAAGGTATTGAAGATAACATGGCCACTTTGAAGAGCTGTAAGACGGAAACTGGATTTTCCTCAGCCTTGTGACCAATTACAATCTATTTCTCGTGGTCAAATACCCTATATTAAAGAAACAAATTTTAAAAATCCTAGGAAAGGGAAAGGGTTTGCCCGTAAATGTTCTTATTTTAGATTATATGGTACAGTATTGAAGATCACAATATAATTATGTTTTTCTAAAAATATTAAAATATGAGTTTTCAAATTTAGTTACATTCTACAATTGGCGTTGACTCTTATACTTAGTATTTGCGCTACAGTTATTTGATAAGTTACATCCTTAAAAGTTTCAATACTATCAAAATTTTTGTCACTTTAGAACACCATTGTGTTTTCTTCTTGCATAAAAAGGATTTGTTAGATGAATTCACAAAAACGAGACCTATTTAAAAACATTCAATTAATTTAATGAAACAAAAATTGAGGAATTTAACATAAGTAGTTTGCCAATAATTTCCATACTGATGATTTGGCTTGCGGTACTGGATGAATGAATACATTTTACAAATTTGACTTCAAGTGGCCATTTCAAGAGTTTTTTTGTGAATTCGCAACTTGATTGTTTGGCAGATCCTGCTAGAAATATTCAGCAATGCTGGAATCTGAGGAGAATCTTTTTCAAAGAAGTTCACCATTCGATTGAGGTTTTCTTTCATCAGTTTCCTAGGAAGATTTACAAGTGTTCTTTCGTATCATGGAGGAAACAGCCTGATTCGATCACAGAAGATTTCCCCATAACACTATGATATTCTTCATCGACTCCTAAGGCCAACTGTAAAGTATTTTTCCATGATAGAGTAAACATCCAGGATTCAATCAGAGGAATGTGCCACAACCTCTAATCACATAATCTTAACATCTTGGATTCCATACTAAGAAATCAATGTGGAAAAGCTACGCAGAAGAAGATAAGAAGATGAAGTCGGAGGTCTACGAACTTCTCAAGTAAGTTCTCAGAAGAGGAGTCACAAGGCAACATGCAATCTAGTCAGGAGAGTCAAAGATTGCACAGTGATGTCTTGTATCCTAAAATCACAAAAGGGCTTTTAGTCAAATTAATAAATCAAACGTTAATAACGCTGTAAACATATTTCAATATTTCAATAAAGTATAAGTTTCGTACTGTTAAATCTAATATGACCTCACCAAAAATAAATCTACTTTCATGTCCCACGGTTTCAATGAAAAAGCAAACAGCCATAGAATCTTATCTGTAAAATGTTCATTTTGTGTTTCTTCAAGCATTTATTGCATCAGATTAAGAATGAGTTAAAATTAAGCTTTACTTACGGTTTTTTGGTGCATCGCTTTTATAAAGTGGGCGATCTTTCATTTTATACTATACATCTGACATCGCCAATGATGCTGTATGTCTGTTTTCATTAGTATGATAAATATTCATCATTATGTTTGTTGCAAAACTTAAATTTTCTTACCTTAGCGACGTAGTTTCAAGTTATATCATCTTTAAAATGTCATGATAGAGATGCCATCGTTGGGAGAGCCAAAAGTAGTCGTAATAGAGGTGTCTTCATCGGTAGGTATAAGAGAGGTGTCTTGATCGGTAGGTATAAGAGAGGTGTCTTGATCGGTAGGTATAAGAGAGGTGTCTTGATCGGTAGGTATAAGAGAGGTGTCTTGATCGGTAGGTATAAGAGAGGTGTCTTGATCGGTAGGTATAAGAGAGGTGTCTTGATCGGTAGGTATAAGAGAGGTGTCTTGATCGGTAGTCATAAGAGAGGTGTCATAATCTAGATGTCATAATCCGTAGTCATAATCTAGACGTAGTCATAATAGGGAGGCCGCAGTCGAAAACAAGGCATTGCTGTGCAATCTTTGACTCTCCTGACTAGATTGCATGTTGCCTTGTGACTCCTCTTCTGAGAACTTACTTGAGAAGTTCGTAGACCTCGGACTTCATCTTCTTCTGCGTAGCTTTTCCACATTGATTTCTTAGTATGGAATCCAGGATGTTAAGATTATGTGATTAGAGGTTGTGGCACATTCCTCTGATTGAATCCTGGATGTTTACTCTATCATGGAAAAATACTTTACAGTTGGCCTTAGGAGTCGATGAAGAATATCAACATAGTGTTCTGGGGAAATCTTCTGTGATCGAATCAGGCTGTTTCCTCCATGATACGAAAGAACACTTGTGAATCTTCCTAGGAAACTGATGAAAGAAAACCTCAATCGAATGATGAACTTCTTAAAAAAAGATTCTCCTCAGATTCCAGCATTGCTGAAGATTTCTAGCTCATTTTCACAGTGCAATCTAATTTTGTTTAAGCTAAATAAAAATTTGTCGCTTTCATAGAAAATTTAAGAAGGAAGTCTTGTGTATCTATGGTAACAAACTGTGTTTAATATAATTTTGTCCCATATATGATGAGTCTTGACACTTGTTATTTTTAATTTTTAAAATTTATTCTTCACTGCAGGGCAAGTCTTTTATAGTTTGATCAAAATGATGAATTTAATACACTTAAAAAATGTTATATTATCAAATCAGTTGGATATATCATCAATGTCAAAGGAACAGATAACTATTCCTTATTGCGTTAGATTATATTTATTGTAGGGGTTAGTACTTGCCTTTTTTGGTCTACTTTTAAGAATCATTTGTAGATGAGTACGTTGAGGATGTGAGCTGTGTTCCAAGTTTTGGAATAGACTAACCATGGAGTATGTTTAATCTATATGGGTTTGGTGAAGTCGGTGAATTAATGTCAAATCTAGTATTAAAAATGATGTACATATCTAGCTAGGGCAAACAATGCATCTAAGCCTCTCTACATACAAAGCATGCAGAAATACAATTGTGCCATCACATTTCATCACTTTTGCATGATTTGTTGCCAACAAAGCCGGACTAGGTTATGAATGTAGTTCACCAAATGTTTAAGATTTGATGTCAAATTCACTACAATTTATGGTCCATCCCATCCACTAAATACATGCACAGCTTTATGTGATCAATATGGCCTAGGCAATTGACTGGGCTCGCATATCAATAAAGTTCAAGTTTTACAGCAACCTCAAGCACGATTTCACAAAACTACGCAATAAGTTAATCAATTAGAAACTAAGTACACGATGTTAAATACATTGGTCAATGTAGCAAGAGAGTAAATCAAAATTACATAAACAAAACTCATGAAACAATTATAAGACCCCCAAAAAAAAGATAAATTTTTAGCTAGATCTCAGAAGCTAGAATTGCAGCTAGAACTGTAAGAAATTACAATTTGTACTAGTGAAAAGTGATTTTTGGTAACCTCTATGTAACCTTAAATATTGCTTTATTTGCAAGGAGAATAGTATTGTTTGATTCTAAACAAATATCTGCTATCCTAAAAGTATTTCCATAACCAAATTGCCTTTCACCACTCTAAATACTCTGTGTTAATTAATTTGCAACACTTTTACATGTTTGCACTTCTATAGTAAGTTTACGGAAATCATCTTACTATGAGAGGCTTCATGATTTGAGTAATCTTTTAATGTAGTAAACAATGTTTTTGGGATCAGTATTTTATATTTTAAAATCATAGAGAAAGCATTAAACTTGATATTCATAGAACATTTCCCCCTACTAAGTTATACGGAAGTTCTTTGGCATGGATGTGTTGTAGGGATGGATTATATTTCATGAGTCTAAATTGTCAAGATCTGGTAATGAAAACTCAGGAACACAATATGTTTTGAAACTCATCACAGCTGTTCTTGATTACTAAACAAAAACGACCTTCATCAGTAAACATCCACACAGTTTATCCCATTCCGTTATTAACTCACCCTTTTACAGATTTGCATTGATATATGACTGTTAGTCTAGGTACCCTACCATTTGAGAAAAGAAATTGACTTCACCTAGACAAAATTAGGCCACAATCGAATCCGAATGGAATGTGTTTTGCACATATCCCTGAACATTTCCAAAAAATTTCCAAGCTTTCCCACTCGACAACGTCCGCTATTGGAAAAAGGCGGGAAAAGTATAGAATAATGCAAGCCTTTACCTTAAACTGCATTGTGTCAAACCCGTACCATAGAGAGGTAAAATTGTTTTGGATTATTCCCCATCAGATTTCCTACGTAATAATATCAAAATAAGAGGCCATATTGAGTTTTTAATTGTCGAAAATCCAATTTTTCAGATCTCATATTAATTAATTAGACTTAAGTTAGTGACAATTATTACAGAAATTTGTATAGAATAAGAAGAACTTTTAACCTACTATACTGATCCAAAAAGTTTAAACTCTTGTATCACTTATTTGTTATTTCTTGCTTGTTACAGTTGGTAGCATTGTACCCAAAGTACGTAGAGCCGATCAAATCTGGCAGTGTCAATCCCACGGATCATGTGGCTCTTTACAAACAAGTCCTCCCTCACATCCGTGCATCACTGAGCAACGTCTATTTAACTGGGTAAAGCTGTGGTTAGTTGTTACGCTTAGTAGACAAAAAGTGGGTCAAAAATCTTTTTAAGTAAAGATAATCGCTGCTTGGTAAGTCAACCAAGTTGAAAATCTGAAAGTGTGTCTTTGTTATTCGCTTTTTTCAGTTGAAGATATTTTGACATGTAGTACCTACCCAAAAAAAGGTGATCCTGTCGGTTTAGTTCTGTTCCAACTTGATCTAATTTTAGCTACTCTAACCAAAAGCAACTTAAACTAGGGGTCTGCGGGTCCCTGAAATCTTCGGGTTGGGTTGGGCTAAGAGTTCGGACCTAACTTGGGTAACTCAGGTCCAGCCGAGATGAGCTTTTATTTTTGTGTTAGTAGAAAGCGTCTGCAAGGGAGCGTGATCAATAATTGACAATTTTGCTTTAATTTGTGTAATGTTGCTGGGTTTTCTCGCGGAGGAAGGAGAGGATGTTGTTATGACTGCAAAAAGATAGATAACTGATCTCACAGTGACCACGAAAGAGGTTCTCTGTGTCTTCGGGGGATGTTCACGACTTCACTACTGGGATGTGGGGGATATTATATACAATATTAATTTTATGTACAAACTGATTACAGAACGGTATAATAATATTTTTTTTTTAAGTCAATACTTTCAAAAGCAACCCGATGTTGGTCCAAGACCCGAAATGCTAAATATTTGACCTGACCGTAAAAAGGTCTGTCCCGCAGACAACTAAGCTAAATATATTTATTTTTCGTAGATGTACATTTTTCTGGCTTGTCTTGAAGTGGTTTACAAGAACATTTACAACATGAATTAATTGCAAGTCAGTCATTTACTTAACTAGCTCACATGGGAAAATAAAAAAAAAAAAACATGAAACAAATATTCTTGAATTGTCAAACTTTTGAACATTATTACTTCACCCATTCTCTTTCTTTGTTTTCCACTAGCATATTTACTGCTGTGCTAGGTTGTTTGCTAATAGACGTGACTAGGCACTATTTCTCAAGCTTAAATAATTCAACTGAAAATAAATATAACTATTACATTTTCTATAAATATTTAATTAATCCAATTTTTTTTAAAATTGCCATTTTGTATTTTAGGGTCAGTCAAAATGAAGAACATTTGAAACCAGACAAGGTGTTATCTACAAAAGTAGTACAGTCTCTGGATCTTCCGTATTACGCCAAGTATTTCCTGATAGCAGCATTTCTAGCCTCATATAACTTGCCGAAAGATGATAAGAGACTTTTTGTGAAAAACCACGGAAAGAAAAAGAAAAGGTTGGTTCAAGATCAGAAAAAGGAAAACACTAGCAAGGAGTTGTTGGGACCGAAGGTTTTCACGCTAGATCGTCTACTGGCTATCTTCTATGCGATTATGGAAGAAAAAACACCGTTAAATGCAAATCTACTGGCACAGGTAAGAAGTGACTTATTAAAATGTTTAAATAAATTAATGCTCGTCTAGTAATCAAAAGGTTGTCGGTTTAATCCTGAGAAAATTTAATAGTTTTTTTTAAGATCTACAACTTGGACTTTGATCACGCGATATCAGGAAAGGCGATTATAATGGTTCCGTGACCACGAGAGAGGTTCAATAGTTAAGCACAACACCACGGGGGGAGGGAGGGGGGTTTCAATGGTAATTAGGCACGTGGTAGACAACAATGATGTTCCTTTTACTGCATGAGATGTTCAAGAGTAAATAATAATGCAGTCGCAGATAACAATGATAGTTTCCGTAATTACGGGTAAATGACTATGTTTCCATTAACACTGAAGATACTTAGGAGTTCGCCGCGATTGCAGCGCAACAATAAAGTTTTTTTTTGACAATTATGATGTCCCTGCGAGTTCAGGAGATGTTTAATATTTTTCCGGTATACGATGATGATGTCCACATGACGGTGGGGGATGTTCTGGTTTTTCCCTCGATTGCCGTAGACAATTATAATGTTCCTGAGAGGTTGAAATGGTGGGAGATGTTCAATATTTTCCATGATATTGGAGGATGGTGATAATGTTTCTGTGATCAATAATGATGTTTCTGTGATTTCATGAGATGAACAATATTTTTGCTGCGGTTGCAGGAGACAGAATAACCGTTGTGAGAAAACAATCCATGCCCGCTTTAATGTCAAACAACATTTTAGCTTGTTGCTAACTCTAAATGAATGAAATAAGAGTTCTAGTTTTGATTTCCGTTTGTTTCAGATCACTTCATTGGTCGAGCTGAGGTTGTTGGTGAAGCTAGGAGATGATCTGGACAAACCAAAGTATAGATGTGCCGTCGGAATTGAATGTGTTGAAGCGATATCTAGGTAAGCATTTTCAAAATGTAAAAGTTACATAGCACATAGTGTGTGCCTTGATACTGTTAACGCCAGTGACATTTTCATGGAAGAAAAAAAATTTGTTGTTTTTTTTTCGCAAGTGGTCCATAAACCTAAATTATGGAGATTTAAAGGATATCTCTCATGTACTAGTTAAGGCTAGCAACCGACACACATTTTATGTATATTTTACTAACTTAAAATTAACTTTTTTAATGCCAGCGTATCACATTTAAAGCTTTGCATAGTTTAGGATTGACAATAGTTATTTATGCAACTAGTGAGAAAAGTGAGCAAATGACTCACTCGAGAGAAATCCTTACTCACAAGCCTACGGCTCGTGAGGAATGGTTTCTCGAGTGAGGCAATTGTACTTTTAACTCGAGTTGCACATTATACTTTTCCTACAGTTACCAAAAAACAAATAAATTTGTGAAGAAACATAACCTATTTTTACACAGAAGTGAACTTTTAATATAACATTTAATGTGAAGTGACAAATACAACAGTACAACAGCTGACCAGCTGATTTACAGCCAGTGCTGCCAACGTATTTCACGCGCATACGACGTTGCCTGCATGTTACGCGCTCACTAATTCGTGCCTTCACGTTGCGAATCTGGGGTGAGACAAAGTAATTAGAGTGAGACAATGTTAACATTGTCTCACTGATGAGAGAATCGGCCACTTTGCTTTCTCAAATCAGTGAGAGAACATGTACATTGTTAGGTAACTGTAGGAAAACGTATTTATTGTTCATATACCTAATAAAATAAGGGTAAATTTAGAATAAGTTCAGTTTAGTTAAGGTAAATAAGTTTCTCTGTAACATCCCCTTTTTCAGCCGTCCTACTCAACCAAATTTTACGATTGAAATGTCATTTTTATGATCCAGCGGAGGGAAAAAAAGTTTATTTCCTTTAGGGCTTAACCCCTCTTAAGCATTTTATTTATTTCAGTAGTTCATTTTCAAACATCCAGTGATGCTGACCAATTATCTTTTTAACAGTTTAAATTATGTGAATTGTCTTTTAACAGCTGATACTTCCACTGAATGTTTAACCACAGTCAGATTGTAAACAAGAGGCAAAACAATTTAAGGAAATAGATAGTTTATAAAAATTGTGTTGAAGGGGAAAAAGTGTTTTGTATCAGATTGTAAAAAAGATACAAAACAGTTTAAGGAAATGAATGGTTTATAAATTTGGTGCCAGAGGGGAAAAAAGTGTTTTGTATCCTGGTCTAGTTCTTCCAAAGAGGCATAAATCTGATTTTGCAAAATTCGCATGAGTTGCTCTAGTTCATAAATACTTGAATTTTAACCGGCTACTTATTGATTATTGTAACTGACTAAAGTAGGTAAAACTTCCTTTTTGGTCTAGAGATCTTAAATAATCAAATTTAATATACTGTAAATTCTTAAACAAAGCTATTAAATTTTTACATGATGGTGTTTTCTTTAATGTAGAATTTTTGAAGTTTAAACCATATCAAAATGCACAATTTGCGGTCCCCACTTTTATCTATTTACAATGACACAGTTCATGCAGACAAATGTGTGATTTTTGTGTGAAACAATTTCAATATTCTGTTGTATTAATTGTTCTGTATTTGTTCCAGAACCCTTGACTTCAATGTAAGGAAGTACATGGTGCATTAATGAGAAACAAGACTTAATATTTGTGATCTGTGTGGATAAAATGTGATCTGATTTTAACTCTATTTTAAGTCAGTAATGTATTTATTTTAAATTACAAAGTTGTTGAAAATATTGAGGCCCATGGTTGTTATTTTGCTACCGTAGCTGTCAGTGATAAGAGATCTTTGACTAATGAGGCAATTAGACATTCCATCCCAATGTTAAAGTTGTCGCCAGTTTTTGAATTAAATGATGTAAGCCACCGACAGATGGCGCTGATGTAAATTACTAGTTTCGGTTGAATACACGAACTTGTTTACTAAGTCGAATATGAACAACTTTTTGTGAGTTACTGTAATGACCATCAACGATGTAAGGAACAAAAAATGTTGCCAGCTATTTCCACATGCTGGCATCAAATATAGAACAGTTTCTGTAATAAAGAAATATTAAATAAAATTGTAACGAACTGAGGACTTCTGTCTTACAATAAAATACTGTCTTGGAATCCTCTTAGTGTCATAGCTTCGTTTCAATCTGAAATCAAAAAGGTCAAACTTAGATAGTAGCAAGACCATTGTTTGGACCAAAACTCGTTTAGACAAAAAACTTTCAAAATGCTAAAGGCGTAGATGTCGGCCTTATTCACTAACTAGACTTCAAGATCGAGCTACTCATCCTACACTCATCTACATTCATTATTGGATTAAAATACCTACATTCGTATGGTCGCAATTTAAAAATAAAGTATAAGAGACATTCCATCCCCATGTTAAAGTTGTAGCCAGGTTTTTAATAAAATTTGTCTTAGCTGATGTGAGCCACCTACAGATTGCGCTGATCTAAATTACTGATTTCTGCCAATTACACGATGGTTTTTACCAAGTCAAACTGATGAAATGACTTATTATGTGCTATAGCAACTGTTGTGACCCAGCAATTATGTCAGTAACAAAAAATAAGGTACAAAATAGAGTTTTAGACACTAGCGCAATCAATGACTAGCTCACACAACTACATTTTTTTTTGCAAAAAATTGGCGACAGCTGATCCATATAGATGGGATGTCTGTATCCAATAGTCAATGGTACAAGTATAGATATACCCAAAAAACATGTTCATTTACAACTGCAAAGCGTTTTATTTCTCTTTAGGTGACACAAAATCATAATACAAAAAGAAAGGCTTATTAACATTGATTTATTGAAGAAAAAAATTATTAATTTATTTATACTTAGCATCTATAAAATCAGTTTTAGGGGATATTAATTAATTTTTGTGATCACTAATTAATTAATGAATAAAGAAATATTGAATTGAATTGGATTTATCCATATGTATGCTCTTTATGCATTTCAACACTACCTTCCAATCACCATAAAAATGTTGAATCCTGTTTTACATATACCTAGGAAGGTTATGATATCTGAATCCCCTAGAAATCTGCCCTATGGACTTTCAATGTTCGTTCAAAGTTCAGAGGTCGGGGTCCAAAATGGCAGCAAAAAGATTGTTAACAACGTTTATATTTTCATGGCCTACATTTTCCAAATTCTGTTGTACATTGATAGCTGAAAAATTAGAGTATATTATTTTGTGCGATTAATTTGTACATTAACACTACTTGTTTTTCTATGGTGAAGTCCCGAAAATGCAAAGAATGGTTGAACCAATTAGTTTTAATATAAAGAAATAAAATTTGAAAGCGTTCAGGAGTCTGCTTGTTTAAAATTTTACATATCTGTTTTTATTTATTTATTTATTGTCTGTAAACCTTGAAATAGATTGTTATTTTTATGGCAATTCTTATTCTGTTTGGACAAAATCTATTGTAAAGCATGCTATGTAATGATAAAGATTTGATTTGATACCCAAAATATATTTGGGGTATATTATTGGCATGATATCTTGGTGGTTTTTAACAACAGCAATATTAATGATGTTACTATAAATTATTTATTTATCGGCCGCCAAAAACCTAACTCCAACACACACATTGCAAAAGCATATTGCTCTTTGGTAAACAATCAAAACCACTAAAAGCACTGGCCAACTTGTTAATTGTTAATGAGACCTTTTCATTGAGTCTGCTTTGACGTCATCATTTAAATATTTTTTGTATCATGTTAAATTTTACAAATAGTTGAGATTGTTTACTCGAAAGATAGTTGTTAATTTATAATCATAGATTTAATATTATTTGTATTTAAAATTTACCATGGGTGATTTTAGCCAATTTCCCATGTATTGAATATTGGCAAATTTCCCTTATAGTGAATAAGCTATAACTGTTCATAGGTCTCATGGTAAGATCTGGACCCTGGACCTCACACCTACAGACATCACTTCGAAAACAACTTTTTGGGTTCAGTTCAGGGGGATCCAAAACAGTTATGTTCACAAAAAAATCAAACTAGAAAGCACTAAATCCTTATACTATGTAGGCCTACCGCGGGAGAACCTGTAAATAAACAACTCTTATGGAGAATAAGTAGATACTGTTTTTGTTCGTTTTCCTGTTGATATATTTTGATGAAATTTTTTTTAAATTTGTATAAGCTATTGATGTTTTACTAAAAAAAAAAAAAAATACTTCATTAACGTCCCTGTAGCAGCAAACATAAGTAGGCCTAATACTCATAAAGCATAATTATATTTAAAAAGTAAATAGGCCTAAATTAGACATTTTTAGGGAAATATTTTAGTGAAAATCAAATAATGAAATTCGCTGAGTATGCAAGTTTGATGCGGCAGGGTTTTTTTAATAGCTGTGTTGCATTTAGGATAAACTTTTCCCTGGATCGATCTACACAATAAGTCATTAGCTTTTCCTTGGTAACAAATAAGCTAGCAGATCCCTCCCTACATTTTCATTACTAGTCCTTCACTTCAATACACACTGGATTGTGTTCTTACATCTCTATGACAATAATAATAAACAATATTGATTTATTTTGATTCAAAATAATTACATATGTTAGTTGTAAAGAGTTCCTTTTACAAAATAACCAGTTAAAAGGAAATAAAGAAAGTTTATAATGTAAAAGTTGCAGATCAAACTTAGTTTCAAGGAAGTTTAACCTGGTTGAGAGAACTGTTATTTAACATTTACCTCTTTAGGAGAAGATTGTTAAATATACTATTTGTCGTGATGTATTATAAAATTAGCGGGTAAAAGCTGCACACATGATCGTCAGAAAAGGGAAAAGAGCATATCATATAGTTAATAACTACCAGGGAGTTCAAAATGCACACGTATATATTTGAGAACTGTAGACTAATATATCTTGATATGTTATGATTATTCTAAATGTATTTTGCAAGCAGTCACATAAGTTCCCCTTGTCCCTTGAGCAGTAAGCCACACTGTGTGAGTTGACATGGAGATATCATTTGTTATGCATAGGTTAAGTTTTGAGAAGGCATTCCCTGTGTCCCTTGCAAAACTTGGGGTCAATTTGCATTTAGACAAACTATATACTTATTTCTAATAGGCTTCATAGACTTTGTGTTTATTAGTAAATCTTTTGGTGAAGTTTATATATTGGTAAATTTGATATTACTGTATTAAAATTTTGAAAATGCAAGTTTAAGTTTAATGTGAGAGGGCTTCACAAATCGTAAAATCTATTCTAAAATAGAAAATATCTTTTAGTCGACATTCGCTTGCTAAAACGTCATCTAAATTCAAAAAACTTAAGACTAAACTTACATAAAGCCATAGATAAAAGGAGTAGACATATGTCTATACTCCTTTTATCTATGATAAAACATACATAAGATTTCAAATGGGAAAATAAGTCAATTTGGACTACTGAAAGCCATTGGCAAGTAAATCTAGTACCACATTTAATACATAACTCCAAAAATAAAAATAAAAAAACAGAAAATTATTTTAAAAGAAATATGAATTATTTTAAAAGTTATCAGTATTAAATCTACTCATAATTAAAAGATATTATGTAGGCATATTTTCATTATTATTACAATTAATTCCATAATTTTATTTTTTTGAGGATTTGTACAATTCATCAATGAAACCTCAGCGGATAAAAATTTTTTGTGAAGTAAATAAAGTTTGCTTGATCAATCCTGAGAAAAGTCAGTTTTTAATGGTTCAACACTGGACCCAGCTGTTCCTTATCATCCTTATCCTTATTGTGCTGTAAATAAAATGATCCTTGCTAATGAAACAGCTGATCTTAGTCAGTAGCAAAGCTGCACAGATTATCACACTCCATTCTACACTCATCCTTCACTAATAAGTGGGTTAAAATACCTACGCACCTAGGTGGCGTCCACATCTCAGTTAATTAATAATTGAACATTTTGAAAAAAAAGAACAAATGTAAAAATAAAACAAAATAAATAGATAAATATATATACCACATAAACATTTATAATAAGAACACATAGTGTTTTTTTTTGTTTTTAGCCTCTATGGACATAAACATCAGTCCCGGGTAAAAGTCTTCCGTGCCACCTACGGTAGAAGAATCTTTCCTATAGAGAAAATTTGCTAAAATCGACAGAAAAAAATTTACCTGAGGGATGATTAATAATTTCTTAACCCTGCTCTGATGTAGACCCCGATGGTCCATCCTCCATTTTGAGAGAGAGAATGAGTAAGAGGCAGAAATAAATAGAAGAGAGAGAGATAGATGGTCAATTGCAGGTAGTCTGATGAGTTGGTCGGAGTTTATTACAAGGAGGCAACCAATCATCTCCCCCTTTCAATCATCCATTCAGACCTTCAATTGACCTACACGAGCAAATATTGTACATTATCTTAAATTCAAAGATAAAAAAATGAACAAGTTCTGTTACCCCCTTAATTAGCTATTCCCAAGTATTCGTAAAATAACTATTCTCAAGTTAAACGAAATAAACTTATATAGATTGGTATAACGCATTTACCATAATAGAACACTTAACAATTTTCCATCGTAAACAACATGTTGAGCCATATCAATCACGTACATCAAGCCTCATCTGGTTGATATCATTACGCCAAGCCTGGGATTGGTTTACGCTCTGTGTGGCGGAAATGACGGAAATATGCGGTGATTTTGAGGTAATATCTCTTGTAGCTACTTTGTATACATGTGCTACATAATGATA